TCTAACATGTTGGCTTTAAGAGTAATACTTCCTATCTCCAAAAGAGCTCAGAATGTTTCAACACCTCTAGAAACTCAGCAGAATTGAAGATATGCGTCCTACACTTCATCCAAGCTGGACATAGAGAGGGGCTAGTTCCTGTACTTATGAGGGAAGGGATTTGATGAAAAAAAAATGCTATTTCTAGTATACTCTGAAGTTTTGTTTGAGATCAGGTGTGAATTGTTTCCTCCTCTCATTTTGGGCCAGGGCAGATGCTACAAATATGCTCACCAAAAGGTAGATGCTACCAATATGCTCACCAAAATAAATTAAATACTTGCCACTGGAGAAAAAGCATGCCTACAGATCTCTAAATCAATATGGCTATTGATGGTGGCTCATCAGCATGGTTCCCTAGAGCTGGACTTTCCAAAACTCAAGTTTTTGCTAGAATGCAGAGTAAAAGCATAGCTCTGCACTCACAGAATCAAAGCTCCCTTTTAAAACAAGTATATAAAGAAATTTGATATTTGTGTTTGGTGTTGTTAGGGTTTGTTTTGTTTGTTTTTTGCTTCTTTGCTGCATTTGATGAAATATATTCATTTCTGTGGTGTAGTGGTTTGAATAATGGACTGCGACTTTGGACACCAGAATTTGAATCCTCATTCAGCAATAGAAATCCATTGGTGACCTTGAGCAAATCACATTCAGCCTCAGAGGAAGGCAAAAGCACATTCCCTCTGAACAAATCTTGCCGAGAAAACCCCATGATAGGGTTGTCTATAAGTCAGAAATGACTTCAAGGCACACAACAGCAACAACAGTTCATTTCTGTGATTCTCTAACTTATCATTGTGCTTTCATTTTTCAGAAAAGAGAGTTTGATGTGGACAACCTCAGCAAGGCAGAACTGAGGATGCTTCTGAGTGTTCTAGAAGGGGAGCTGGAAGCACGAGATCTTGTGATTGAAGCTTTAAGGGTATGTTTTTGGTTAACAATTTTTAAAAATTTAATTTTCTTTTAAGTGGTTTGATTCCCAAATCCAGACCTTTAAAAACTATATTGGGTGGAATAAAATACTGTAATATCTTTTGAAAAACAATACACTGCTCAATCCTTGGCAGGTTTTGACAGATGGGGAGGAGAATAAATGAAAAAGTGATGAGTTTTTCAATACAAAGGACATAGTATATTGATTTCCCCCCTATATCTAATTAATATAATTCTTGTCTTTATTCTTCTTTTTCCTAAACTGGGAGTGAGAAGACCTTGTCAGTTTGGGGATCACAATCTCTCTTGAGTAATCATCTGGAGACAATGTTGGCAGGCTGAGAAGCAAAAAATGAGCACACCTCAGTTCCAAAAGTTCATTCTTAGGCATGCATAACACTGAAAACACACACAACTCCTTCTACTATTTAAACTAAAGTTGAAAAACACCTCCCATGAGTTCTAACAGGATTTTTTAAAAGTTGAATTGCTTCAGAGAGAAGGGAGGAAACTAGGTCAATTGAGAAGGCCCAATAGCCAATATCTCTGACCCACAGAGAGCTTGTTGAGAACCTCTGTCCTAAATAAATAGTGAGATACCTCTCTCTGAACACATAGCCCTCCTCTGTGTCCTACCACCTCCCTAGGCAATTGGTTTCACTGCTGAACCACTCTCACTGTCAAGAAGTTCCTTCTAATGTTCAACTGAAATCTACTGTCCTGTTACATAAAATCATTAGACATATTGTGTCATGACCCAAGGGAAATTTTCACTTTGGGGCAATATAAATTTTAGCCTTGTCTTTCTCTGTATTTTGCATTAATGTGGAGGTAGCAGATTGTGTGAGACTGTCGATGCTGTTACTTTCCCCCCACTTTTTAATTATTTTAAAACAATGGAGTGATAAAACCACCCTATGTGGTATATCAGCAATTTCTCTCTCTCTCTCTCTCTTATACACACTAATAGGATTAGCCTGTCTTTCTTTACAGACTTTCTCATATGACAGTTGCCACAAGCAGCTGAGAGAGATTTTTTTCCCCCAGTAGTGCATGCTGAGAATAAAGAGCATCTAAGCATGAGGGATGTCCTTCAGTCTGGGTTCCGAGGAAGGCAAAACTGAGTACACACACTTGGTCAAGCTACTGAGCTCTGAAATGATCTGTGTTCAAATACTGATTGATCTTTAGCTTGTTATTAGCTATGTGCAGGCAAGCAGTGTTATTAGCTATGTGCAGGCAAGCAGGTAAAGCTGACATTTGGAATTCCCAAACTCCATGATAACAATGGGACACAAGTAACCAAAACTGGTATGTTTAGATCATCTGGACTAGTAACTTTTTTTGTGCAAGTGTACAAGTCTTATTTTTGTTTTGGAGAACTGGTAACCTTATGCAAGTCCAACCAAAACATTTGCTGGTATACTAGGATATAGAGGTGAGGGAAGCCTTCTAGAGCAACTTAAAGTCTAAAGATCCTTGACTGTCCTATCACTTTGGATGATGTTCCAGAATCCTCCAGCATAACCAATGGTAATATTGGGAGATGTCATTAGGGAAAAAAATTGTAATTTCTGAACTATCCAGTGAATTACCTGTAGTTGATCAATTTCCAACCTGGATTCTCCAGATACTGGGCTACAGTTTCCATCTCCCCAGCCAGCACAGTGCATTGGTCAGGCTAACTGGGCATGATGGAAGTTATGAATGTATCTAAAGGATGCCAATGTGGGGAAAGATAGGTAAGAATGTAAAACCATATCCCAGATTTAAATTTGCACTTAGTCATGAATGTCAGTGGGGTATCCTTTGGCCAGTTTATACTAGTCAGCCTAACCTACCTCACAGAGCTGATGTTGATAAAATAGTTGGGAAGAGAGTTGTGTATGCCATGTTCAGGAAGCAAGGGAAGATGTGTGGATCCTTCTGTACTAGAGTGTTGCTCCCACATTGGAAGCAGCCACTTAGAGTTGATGTTTATAAAACATAAATAGACATGAATAAATCATAGATGAATACAGTAGGTAATGTATTATTTGCTTGACTAATTAAGCCATTAGGTATTCAAGCTATTTTTCTAAAAAATAGACATAGCTGGGCTTGTTTGTTCAAGATTGTTGCATTTTCATTTCTAATTTCTTTTGCCTTTTCATAATTCGGTAGGTGGTAAATGAATATTTGCCTTTCAAAATAAATTTAGATTTCACCTCATGCTCCATCATGCAGATAATTAAAAAGAAAGAAGATAGATTGTGCTAGACACCTTCAATATTATGAGAGCATATGAGCTTGGAATAAATTGTTATCAGGAGCTAAGAAGTCAACCCTTATGATACTTATTGCAAAGTTAACATTAGAGGAGCATTCAGTGACAGACTTCACTGTAAGTTGCCCTTTGGAAATAAGACTCTGAAGCTTATGCATGTGTGGGGGTGGGGGTGTACATACTTATTCATTATGCTAAAGCAGAATAAAATATTAATCCTGTGTATACATAACAAAGGGAAATAGTGTTTGCAAAAATAAGAAATCATATGGGATCATACGAGATGCAGACATCAATAAAATTTAAGAGGAGCTAACTTGCAGAACAATCTGAGTAGGTGGAGATGGTGTTATAGGTGAAGTTATGGACCAACTACCATTTTCATAACTCTGCTAGCTCTTGATGGCTGGAATATGGGATGGATTTAATATGTTCCCTGCCCACCTGTGGGTTATGTTTTTGCTTGCTTTCAAAGAAAAAAGAACTTCCTTTGGTTCCAACCAGAGTGGAAATACAAGTCTAGTCCTGTGGGAACTGATGGAAGAGAGAGGCCTTGGATCCAGTAATTCCAAGATCACCGCTAACATTTCATGGCTCTGTTTTGGGATTCATCTTATGACAAATTTAGGACATTAGACATGAGCCTAAAAAGTGGAATGTTAACAGAATAAAAGCACCTTTGCTTGGTACTTATCAGACGATGCTGTGTCTGTCCTGCTGCTGCCCTGTGACTGTAATGCACCTTTTCAGTGATAGGCAAAACCCATAAATGAACTCTTAATATTGCTTATATAGCACAGGGATTTTTGGTGCAAAAATCCTCTTCATTACAGTTCTGGCATGGCAACCCGTGCAGAAAACTCCCAAACCTAATAGAGTTGGTCCATCCTGTTTTAAATACTTCCCTATTACTGGAGCCCCAAGAATTGGTGGTGGCAAAAAATAATAATAATCTAATATCAGTGGTGATAGGTAAAATTGTCACAACCATCCCTGGACTTGCCATAGGGACCCATACAGTCTAGCTCATGACTGGAGTATTGTAGTGCATTCTGTGTGGGGCTACTCTTGGACTAGAGTCAGAGGCTGAAATGCAGGAGTTCAGCATTCAGGAGCTAGCCTGATATGTGAACATTCCTAT